ACTCGAGTGGCCGGATAGATGCCTCAGAGTACAAGAGCTTGCGCAGGTTTGAGCAAGTGCTGGAAGATGGTGGTCAAGGAAGTACACTGGAGGATCAGGGACTGAAACCAGATGAGATTTCAAATATACAATTTACGTCTGGCACCACAAGTATGCCAAAGGCGGCATGCTTGAGTCATAAAAGTATCCTGAATAACGGGAACAGCATTGGCGACAGGATGCTGTTAACACCTGAGGATGTTGTGTGTTGTCCACCACCACTCTTTCAGTAAATACATCATTTTGATCGTCAATTCATAACAACTAACACATCTTAGTTGTTTTGGATGCATTCTCGGCTACATGGCAACAGCCACCCACGGTTCTGCCATCGTCTTCCCTAAGGAGGCATTCGACCCACTTGCCACCCTCGAAGCCGTCCGAGAATATAAAGCTACAGCACTCTACGGTGTACCAACTATGTTCGTAGCCGAACTCGATCTACTCTCACACGGTGCTGCACCACGTGAGGGCTACCAGTATCTGCGCACCGGAATCGCGGCAGGCTCATCCATCCCTTCAGAGCTCATGCGGAAATTGCACAAACAACTCAACCTCACTCAGCTCACCATCTGCTACGGCATGACCGAAACAAGTCCCGTCTCAGCCATGACTACGACCGATGATCCCATGGAGAAACGTATCGACAGCGTAGGCAGACTTTTACCGCATGTCAAAGCTAAAATAGTAAATCCTTCTAATTGGTCGCACACACTCAATGTCAATCAACGCGGCGAACTTGCCGTCTCAGGTTACCTCGTCATGAAAGGATACTGGGGCGACGAAAAACGAACGCAGGAATCTTTGGTACCGGATGGCGATGGCGTGCTGTGGATGCATACAGGGGACGAAGCAACGATAGACGAAGAAGGTTATATCAAGATCACAGGCCGAATTAAGGATCTAATCATTAAAGGAGGCGAAAATATCCATCCACTAGAAGTCGAGAATTGCCTCTTCGCGCATCCGAAAATAAAAGAAGTTAGCGTTGCAGGTTTGCCAGATGAGCGGTATGGAGAAGTTGTTGCAGCGTTCATTGTGAGGCAGGATGGCGACGAAGGAAATATTAGTGCAGATGAGGCGCGAGATTGGGTCAGGGGGAGATTGAGTCATCACCTTGGTAAGCTCTCTTTTCTCTTTTATTTCTTGGTGTAGTTTTCGTGAGCTAACTTTTGATGGAACAGTGCCAAAATTCGTCTTTTGGGTTGATACGCATCCAAAGACGGCAAGTGGGAAAATTCAAAAGTTCAAGTTGAAGGAAATAGGTGTTGCTATGCTGCAGGAGGGAAAAGGACTACAGTAGTAGTTGCGATGTGTCATTTAGTATGATATTTAAGCTTGATAATACATCATCACTTCAATTTATTTGCCAATTAGGAGACGGCCTAACTTAATCTGAACCTGATGTTTTCAATTCGAATTCACACACAATCAAATGTGGTGAGCATGAAAGAATCAGTGTTCGTAGTGAAGGCTTTGGAAAACAGAGTATGAAGGAGAAGAGTTTCATGATGACACATTGTACAGACGCTGCCTCCAAAACCGCTGAGCTTCAAAAATTTGGACAGTGAGGAGGGTTCAATTTTGGCGGACTGTACTCGAAGGCGCAAGGCATCATAGGATATCATAGGTTGAGTTTTCTTTCGTACGTATAGTGCATCTGCTACTCAATATACCATACCCACATTACATTCCAAGATTTTCCAATCCAATTGATTCTTTCCATTGCACTATATCTCTTCTAGACGCCTCCTAGGACTCTGGCTTCAAATCAACATAACCCCTTGTCGCCCATTGCTTACTTGGCTCAAAAGCTAGCTTCCCTTCTTTTGTCCTTCCATGCCTCCATGTCAAGGCCACAGACTACATTCCCTTGGTACGGCTCCTCAGGCTTGCTCCACACATGCGTTACAGCATCACTCAAACACTCAATTTGAATACCCCTAAAGCCCCCCCTATCAGCTTCACGCATCAGCCAACGCGCCAGGCTACCCATGATGCCTTGGCCTTCGTAGTCGTGACGGGTGGATGATGTGTTGCGAAACAGCACTTGGCCCAGGCCGGTAGGTTTCCATGTATTCGGATCCCGAGTATCCATCTCGCCAAAGGCAACGAGTGCTGACATCTTTGGGGTATAGCACAGGCCAGACGTTAGTGGAAACTGTTACTGTGACACATGACTAAAACGGCCCATCTCAAATGCTCGGGTCCAAGCTTTCAGATCTCATAGCGAGGCTTAAGGGGCGAAGGAAAGTTTGGGTCTGGGACCTTGGTATTGGTGTTTTTGGACATCGTGGTCAGCTTAAGCGGTCACTAACGAATACGGATTCGGGCTTTTGTCGTGATCAGCTTGAGCAGTCACAGAGGAAGGCTGATTCCGGCTTTTATAGGTATTCTAGAGGCTGCTGTGCTTTGGATTAGAAATATATGGCCGAAGAGGTGCGCAAGATGCCTGGTGCCATTTGAACTCAAAGTAGAAAAGGTTCGTAAGCTAGCCACTTAGGACGTACATTCTCCAATTTTTAGCCATTTTCAGTGTTATCATCGTTTGCAAATGAAACGCTCGCCCCAAATACAGTTATTTATTTTGTTATACTAGTGAGCATACAACTGAATGGACAAATCGCATTACTACGCTAAATATCTCAACATGTACCACCGCTAACTGCATCTCCAATTATGATGCTTGGCAATGGATTACATGAGAGATTTCCCCACAACCAAGACTAGTAGTAGCTTAATACTAACGAGAAAGGATAATCAGGCGAGCATTTGTCGAAAGCAAAAGCTAAGATGTTGTTGTCTCAGCTACAATTGTCCGGTGTGGAAAGAAATGCCATCAGCTAGGATTACAACGAAAGCACTTTTCTATAGGGCGTACCAATTCAAGAATTCAAAAATAGAAGTCTGAGTCATCTACATCATACTACCTCAACAAGTATGCCTCAAGTTGTACTCTTAGGTAGCCTAAATATATTTCCGGCGTAATGCTTGATAAATCTATCCAGGTATTTATATTGGTGTGTTATGACTATGAGTCTGAAAAATTGCCTATTCTTCAAACGGTGTAAACCGTTGAAGAACCGTTTCTGCGGCTCTAAGATCATCCTCAAGTACTTGGCGATGCGTCTCACTTCTGATGCTGATCTCGCATGAAAACTTTTGTGGTCGGATATTGAAGCCTTCAGTATATGCAAAACTGTTATATGATACGCCCTTGATTGGCAGGATATTGAAAGCCCAGATAATCTTTGCAAGCGCAATGAATAAACTGTTCTCAGCGAGGCCAGCTCCAGGGCAAATGCGTCTACCCCAGCCAAACGATGAATGCCCTGCTTTTGCTGGGTGAGTCTTTCCCCCCGATGTTGCCTGAGCCTTTGAAAATTCAATGGGGGTCGTGTCTAGAAAGCGATTTGGGCTGAAACGGTGTGGATCATGGTAGTACTCGTCATTCAGGTTGATCGCCCACGAGTTTCCCAGCACGGTGGTACCTGCTGGGATATAGTAGCCTTCATAGTAATCATCTTCCGTAGAAGCATGCGGCGTTCCCCCAAGTACGGCGACTGGGCGCCACCGTAGAACTTCCTTCACGAGGGCACATAGATATGGCAGGTCTTTCTCGTCATCAAAAGTTGGTGTGTGTGAAAGCCCAACTACCGTATCAAGCTCTAAATGAGCAGCTTGAAGCGCCTCAGGATGCATCACAAGTGCAAGAAACGCCGTGCAGAGAGTTGATGCTGTGGTGTCTGATCCCGCGCCGAAGAGAGAAGCGGGGATGTATGAAAAGTCGCGTTCTGAGAGCGGTATGTGTTCCTTCTCCCGCATTTCCAAGAGCAGTTTGCAGAGTGAATCAGGTATGTCATCTCCTCCAGTTTTGGCCCGTGCAATGTCATCGCGTACAACATTGACAAGCGCCATGTTCGCCGCAGCTTCCTCTCGGCCAAACGCTTTAATCTCGGTCTTCCATGGTGCAAGCACATCAGGAACATGCTTTAGAATAGGGAATGATTCAACCATGTACCGACCAGGCACATTCAAAGATGATGCCCTATGCATGAACTTGAAGCGCTGGTGTATGACATCCGCGTTTAACGAGTCGATGCGATGTCCGTACGCGACAGAGAACACGATGCTTGATGTGAAGCGCTCGAGGAGTTTTTCCCAATTCGATGGAGTTTCTAGGAGCTGGTAGCACAACTTCGATGCCTCAGCTGTTTGCACTGGTTTGTACAGTCTCAAAGCCTTTGGCGTCAACGCTTGGTGCAACAGCTTCCTCCTTATGCTCCACTCTTTGCCATACGGCTGTACCAATATACTTGCTCCATCCCACAGTATCTCACCCATGGCCACCATCCGAGGCCGGGACGAGTATTTAGTGCTTCGCTTCTCCATCAAGTCGACTGCAATATTAGGGTCGCAGATGACGATTGTGGGCGTTCGACCGAACCACACTGTGAAGATGGGCCCGTAGACCTCGGACCATTCTTGAAGTTTTATCCAAGGCTTTGACTTTGGTAACTGGAACTTATTCCCAAAAAACGGGATGGGCCTAGGACCAGGGGGCATTCGAGCAAACAGCCACACATCGCGAAGGAGCGCAATGGTAGGGAGTACAAGGAGGATGGAGAGCCAAAAGTAGGGTGGAAGACTCAGCAACGCCTCTAGAGCCATATTGAAAGCAGGGCAAAATTTACGAAGCGTCTGTCAGTTTCTCACGACTTTGAATCAAAATTGATCGAGAGCTCACACACCCCAAACCAAGCGATTAAAACACTTTAGCTTCCAGCGTGTGTTCGGCAGTTGTGGGGCCCGCAGGTGTATTGCCGCGGTGCACGAGAGAGGATGATGTGGGGTAGTCCTCGGACAAATTTCTCTCTCCCCTCGAACTCTCACAACCACAACCACGACTCCACCTCCACCTTCACCAAAAACTGCCAAAAAATAAACCATTAATGAGTATCCTCTCCAGCGGGGAATTGAACCCCGGTCTCTGGCGAATTGTCTTACTATTATTGTATGACAAGCCAAAATACTGACCACTATACTACTGAAGATGGTGTGGTAGTTGTTGAAGGTATGGAGAACAAAACGGTATATGAAGATACAATTAGAGGAGCACTTGTAGTTGTGTCTTAGGAACAATTGAGGTTAGATGCAATTGAGGGATCCACGAGGCCACGTTGAACATAGGAAAATTTTGCAGTGGGTCCTAGCGGTAAAATAGTGATCAGTGAGTACCACAATCCAGAACCGCCAAACATCACCAACCGCCTTTCCTGACAGCCGCATCTCGAGAGCAGACAAACAGAGAGAAAACTATCACAAAATGCGCAGATTCAACTTATCGAACGACCTGTGTCCTACACCTCAACGCCACATTGACCTCACGAGTCATGAAGTGGAAGCTAGAGTCTGGAAATGACAGAGATTCATGTCTAATATTCATATATTAACTACAGTTATATATTCATGATGTATATTTACGTTATTAGCTATGCGAAAATATCCTCGACCTCTAGCACACCGCGCTTGTAAATGGTACCCTTGCCAGTGAAATTTCCGGACTGTGTTGTGAAACTCTCAGTGCTGCTGAAGTCCTTCACACGGCCCAAGAGAATTTCCAGCATCCTGTATGCAACGCCAGGAGTGTATCCGGGAAGCTCGTGCCCTGCAAGACGCGCAGTGTAGAAGGTTAGGCCGCGCTCCTTCGACCATACACCCTGGTAACCTGCACCAGCCAAGGCACCGAGGTTGTACTCAGGATGGTCGGGCGCATACAGGGGGTAGAAGGGTATTCGTTCAGGCCTTGGTGACCGTTCCAGGTCATATTCTGGATGGCAAACAAAGTACCGTTTGTGCTCAAAAGCATGTCAAGATCACCGGACCCGATGATAGTATTGTTGGTATGCTCAATGACACGCTGCAAGACACCGTTGTTGGCGGGACCAACAGATGAGTCTCGAGTGTTACTACTAGAGTTGCCATTTCCAAATACATTGACATCAGTGCATTGTTGCCAATTGGTACCGACAACCGCGTGCAGCGCTTTCTGTACATCTGTACGGTTGAAATAGACAACGGCATTAGGAGGCTGATAGTCGCCGACGTTGACTATGCCTAGTTGAGAGAATGGATGTGGGCAGGTCTCCGTGATGTGGTAGATATTGAAGCACGGGTTGACCTGAAGAATCGCGCTGTAGAAATTGTCGAACTGGTCACATGTGAAGTTTGCTGAGTTGAAAGGGTCAGGAAGCACAGGAAACTTCTCTTGAGGCGCTGGGAATGTGAAGTACTTGTTATAATAGTCTTCGTAGCCGCACTCTTTTTGATGTTGACGAATGGTACCCATGAATGAGTCATTCAAGTACATCAATTTCTGCCAAAACTCAACGTAGGGTAGGATGACGACTTGTTGTTGAATTGTTTCATCCCCGATGATGGGATCGTTGATAGAAATCCCTGCAAGATTGAAATATTTTGTATCTCCCGCCTGGATGAAACTATCCGCAATATATGGGACATAGAAGCCAGCATACGATTCGCCGGTAATGTACGTCTTCCAGTGATAAAGGCCGAAGAGATCCACAAAACTTTTGTAGAAGCCGCGGAACTCATTACCAAGCTCGACCTCATTGGTAATGTTTGGGGTTCCTTGGGAGTAGCCAACACCTACCGGCTGCTCAACCCAGAGCACATTGGTCACTATTAAGGAATCAGCAAATTAACGCACTCCTGGGTAATGCGAACTAACAGTTGTTCCAGCTGTATGCATTTTGGACGGGAGCGAGAGTGCCAGATTCCCAAGTGAATGGGCCATTCTCTGTGAGAAATCCGCTCAAACTCGAACAGCCAGGGCCTCCATTCAACCATATTACAACCTCCTCCGGAGCCTTGGACTGAGTGGAAGGAAAGAACCAGAAAAATAATTTGCGGGTTTCAGAGGGATCGTCCGAGATTGGCAGCAGGCCAGCATACGACTCCCCAACATCGAAGGGAACTTCTGGAATACCAGTACCGTTCACTGAGAATGGTGCAGTCTTTTCCGTCGCGAAAAAACTGGTGGCACGTTTCTGAATCTCTGGATTCTTGAACGGCTCATTCGCTATGCGTCTTTCGAGAACAGGCCTCGCCTTGTTGAACACATTGAGCTTGTGCGGAGAGTTACCAGCAAGAGCTGTGGAGGCACAGAGCAATGCGTTGAAAAGCGATAGAAGCTTCATGGTTGAAGGTAGAGGTGAAAAGAACAAGGTCGAATGGTACTTGACCGATTTTATGTAGTTTTGGTGACGGCATTTCCAGGCAAGCAACCCCAGCACTTGACTGAGAAGAGAAGGAGCATAATTATCGTATTATCCAGGACTTCGGATAAGTCTAACTCACAAAAGTAGAAACTAGTGCGCAGGTAGACAGGGCGTGACTGCAAAATGACGCACTACCTAACGAACGTTGACCAACGTTGGGATATTTCACCTTCCCGAAACGTCCTGGTATAGATGATCGTACTGGGGTGTGATGGTAGATGGGTCTGAGCGAAATTATCGTTGCATGTCTTTGATTCGAAAAGGCTCGTAATCGACAAGGTACGGGTAGAATAAGCCTCGGAGCTGGTGCTTATCGTTGCTTGGTTGACCCGCCCACGCCATAACCGAGCCGTAGCATCATCGCAAAGAAGGCACAACAGTCATGTTCGGTACGCCATTCAGCGTGTGGAAGCGAATCCAGAAGAGGAAGGCGAACAATTGGATCATTACATCGTGCAGTGAAGGCAGAGCTGGCTACGGTTTTACGGAGCCGAACCGTTTGTGTCAAGCCTCGAAAAGTAATCTCACAAACCTTATTGTGCTGCGAAGAGGTTGCCTCGGTTTTGTTATCGACCTTTCGCGCCGATTCATTTGGCGTGTTGCGGCATGATCACCGTATTTATCAAACCACACATTTGCTTTAAAGTTCTTATCGGCGCCGAATTGAAGTCATCCTCAAACATTTTAGTTTTCTCACAGAGTTGAACCTGGGTACCTAGAATTTGACTAGATGACTAGTGGCGAAAGAAGGTGGACTGCGCCACGGCTCTCCATTGGCGGAATATGGCTCAGCAGCTAAACGGGGGGTCTGATAATGCATCAGAAAACTCGAAAGACTCGAAGCACGGTTACAAATGAAGCGCTCTATTCGGCCGCGTGATCTTAATCCAATATATACCCAGCCTACCTAGTTAGCAGCGCATGCACGATACCTGGGTAGCTACAACTACTGCACCCTTTCACGCCCGGTGGAATCCGAATAAGCGAGCAGGGTTGGAAACTACTCTTTTAGGATTAATTTTTAACAAAATTTTAACGTTACAAAGGTGCTTTAGGTAGGATTTAAGAAAATAAAGCCCTAATCTAGTAATCCTGTACAGCAAATCTGCATAAACTGGTGCGTATTTGATACCTACTATACTATCTATCTACTTTGGAGTTATACCGTCAGTCCACCTGGGTATATTTTGGGTTAGGGTCAAGCGGCCGAATAGAGCGCTCCATTACAAAGCCCTGCAACGACATTTTAACTATAACAACTCCCTAGGGGGTTTTTTGCACCTAGAGGGTATAGCAATCATATCTATGATAGGTGGAAATATCAGCAACTTCCAGAGTATTCCTCAATATCATTTCGGGATCATAAGAGAGGTAGCCCGAATTCAGCGTGCATCTAGCGGCTTTCAATCTTGAATGTTTTGATGCTGCAGTTTACGGTCACACTTCCTCAAATGACCAGCGACCTCCAAACCGGCACTTCGTTCAGAAAGCGAATGGCGCGAAATATTTGCACAGCAAGTTGTGGCTGGTGGCTGACGCTGACGCGGCCACCCTTACATTCGTTGCTATCGGAAACAATTGCATAGCCTCACTCGGTGTAGGCTCGTATCTGATCACACAGCCAGTGGTGAAGATGATCACCGTTCACCGGTAACCACCAATGCATTATAAAAATATGTCTACACCCGCGCAACTCGCTGACCGTCCTTTCAGTTGCATTAACCAGCATGGGACTTCCAACAGCAACCACACCAGAGGCAGCACCAGCCTATGATGACGTATTTGGTGATCATCCAGTGAACTGTTTCACTCCGTCTGGGTCGGCATCATCTGTAAGTAACCCTAAATCCACTGGTCTTTTGGTTCCCTAACACGTTTTGGTCAGTACGCTGCTGTTGCACAGGACGACGATGTCGAAATGAGCGCCCACGAACATGCCCATGACCCCAGCAGCCTTGTGCCTAGTCCTGAGGCTGCACCAGAATCGCTTGCGCAGACTATCGCAGGCGTATTCAGGCCGAAACCACACACTCACTGCGAGCAATGCGACGTACAACTAGCGGCTCGACAACGTCGGGAAAACGAGAGGCATTGCTGCGATATGGTAGCTCTGGTGGCTATAGTAGCATTCGCTTCCGCATTTGTCTTCGGTATCATACTTTTGAACATTGTGTACAAACACAAAAAATCCTGATGAGCATATCCCATGTCCTCAACGGCGTTGGACTAATCAACTTGGGTCCCATAGCTTTCTTTACCTACATTAATTATGTTCACACACATCTTTCTCTATGGTTCTAGTGCTTCTACATATTAAGATTATACTCATAGCGTGACTCTCTTCTGCGCTGAGCCACATTCCAGTCGCCCAATCTAAGATGCACTAGGCTCACCTTTGGTACGTCCAAATTACAGTGTTCGTTCGGGATCATTCGGTCCTTCTCGGCGAATCCTCTATTCTTATAAGCTCCTTTTTCTTGACTTTATATTATTTTTTTATAACCGGAATCGGATTGCGGATCTACCGAGATCGCAATATAATGGAACTTATCCCATTCGCTCCAGCATCACAGATTTGTGTAACCGCAATGAACATCACACACAGTGGAGGAACGGATGAACAGTCCTTCTGGATAGATTGAATAATATCTAATTGTCAAGGTTTGCTTCCAAATACCATTTTATGCAGCTGCTGCCACCGGAATCTAGGAACTATAAAAGCCCAGGTGTGGTATTTGAACGCTGTTTGAGTA